TGAGAATAGACTATTTCTTTCCACACAAATAGTCATAACAATTATTCCGTTCCACATGACTAGGTGAAGGTAAAGGCCTCCCCACAACTGTCACTGGCTGGGAAGGTAGCCTCTGTCCTTTTCTGGTGTTTATTTCCAGAAGTTGGTTTTTATGATTGGTAGTTCCTGCCTTTCTGGAGACCATGCCTGGAAACTTGCTTCTTTCAAGGGTGTCTCCTTAGAGTGTTTTGGTCAGCAGCCTAGGACTTTCCTTTTGCCTTATAAATATTTTTAGTAAGTATTTTCTCTTGGCATTTTTTTCCCCATAAAATAACTGAGCCCTCCCAGACTACTACCATTCCAGTACAGATGACACATCAGACGCTTACAGTTGTTGAGGGCTTTTTTTAGACCAGAAAAACTAAACTTATGGTACAGTGGGTATCTAGTTAATGAAAATGGTTTGCTCTTGGGCATACAGATGAAAACTAGAAGTGCAGGAAGGAGCTGTGATTTCAGAAGCATGAGAGAACTCCCAGTATGAGAACTCCCTCCATCAACGTAGATCTGTAGGTCACAAACCACTAATCATTTAAGCAGCTAGATGGCAGAATGGATAGAGGGCTGGACCTGGAGTCAGGAAGACCTCCATTCAAACCCTGTCTCAAACACTTACTAGTTGTGTGACCCTGGGTAAGTCACTTAACCTTTGTCTGCCCCAGTTTCCTCATCTATAAAATGAGGCTGATAATAGGACTTCCCTTTCCAGGGTTGTTGTGAGGATCAAATAAGAAAATATCTGTAAAGTTCTTCACAGACTTTGAAGTGCCATGTAAGTGCTAGCCATTATTATTGAATTAGTAAAATCAGGGGATCAGTCAATCAATCACTAAGTATTTATTAAGCACCTATTATGTATGAAATACAGTGTTTGGTCTGCCCAACAAAAAGACCAAGATCTTGCAAGACAAAAAAGGAAATATTGGCTGCCCTCAAGTAGCTTATATTCTCTGGGGGAAGACAACATATATATATAGGCATAGACACAGATATACCAAATAAATGTAAGCTAATCAGGAAGAGGGCAGTAATCAGGAAGGTAAACAGCTAGGAGGGATCAGGAAAGACCTCTTGTAGGAGGTGACATTTGATCTGAGCTTTCAAGAAAACTAGGGAATCTGGGGAGGGGGGAGGGAAGGGAAGGGGAGAAAATTTCAAACTCAAAATCTTATGGAAGTGAATGTTGAAAACTAAAAATAAATAAATAGATAGATACAGATAAATGGATGGATGGATGGATAGATACATAGATGAATGAGTGAATGAATAAGATGGGGAAAAGGAAAACTAGGGAATCTTAGAAGTAGAGGTGAGGAGGGAATGTAGTGTGTTCCAAGCTTGGGAGACAGAGCACAGACAGGGAAGCAGAATGTCTTTTCTGAAGAAAAGCAAGGCTAAATTAACTGGACTACACAGTATATGAAAAGGACTGATGAATAATGAGGCTGGAATAATAGATTGGAGTCAGTTTCCAAAGAGTTTTTAAGTGCCAATCATAAGAATTTTTATTTGATCCTAGAGTTAATAGGGAACCATTGGAGTTAATGAGTAGAGAAGTGATATGGTAAGCCCCGTCACTGATTTTAGGAAAAATAATTTTGGCAGTAGAACAGAAAATGGATTGGAGTGGAAAGAGACTTTCAGGAGACGGGAGACCATTTAGAAGGTTACTGGGGTGATCTCTGAATGAGTGAAGGAAGGGGATATACACTAGAGATTTTGTGACTGTGGAAGTGACAGGGTTTGGTAATTGACAAGATTAGTGGGGTGAGTGAAAGTGATCACTATGGAAGATGGATGGGAGAAGGCAGATGTTTGAGGCAGGGAGACCCAATCAGGAGGTAGTTGTTAAAGAAAAAAAAAGTCCAGTGTCTAATTCAACCCCTCATGTTTTACAGATGAAGAAACTGAGGCTGAGGGAGATTAGGCAATCTAGCCAGGGATAGTTGGTATGCCCTGTGACTCCAAGGCTGAACATGGGATATGAGAAATCACAATCACAAAAGCAAAAGTGATTATATGGTCATTGTGATTGAAGAAATCAATAAAAACAATCTGCACCTGGAAACTCTAAGGAGTTTAATGATTTTTTTTTTCTGCCTCTTCCCAAGGTAAAATCTGCCTCCCTCCCCATGTTCTTCCCTGCATGGAGTGTCAGCTTGGCTCCTCTAGAGGGCAGCCAAAGCTCTCCTTAGACAGAGGCACTTGCCTTTCTTAGTGTCTTAATGGCTTAGTGGCTTAGCTCTTCCCAAGCTGTGTGGTCACTTTGTTCTGGATTCAAAAGGCCCTATAATTTGAATAAAACCCGACCCCTAAATATCTGAAAAAGTCTTAGTCAGCCATCAATCCCATAGGCCAGAGAAACTGAAAAACAGATTAGATCAGCAGCCAAACCACTTATCACTCTCATTTCCTACAAATGCAGAGGGAATTGTTATATTGCTAGCTCCTTGTCCTTCTGTCTCACTGAGTATTTCAGTGGCCTTCTCTGGCCCCTTGCCGCTCTGACAGATCTCACATTGTTAATATTAAAGAAATCTATTTCAAAGGCTACATGCCTGGGAATGAGCCAGAGGGGGCTCCTAAGTGTTCTTGGCAGGTTAGACCAAATTTTTAAACCTTTTTGAACCACAAGCAATTGAATTACCAAAAAGTCTGCATGTTTTCCCTCTAGTCAGTTGGACATGAAGTAGGATGATTGATGGTCGATTTTCATGAATTCAGTGCAAATGCTTTTAGAATAATATGTTTTATTGCTGTATAACCATAGTGACCAAATTTGGACCAGGAAAAGAGATGAGAAAATATTTTTCCCCCTTCCCTTGTGAAGAAACATGAGTATGGAATGTTACGCACACTATAAGACAAGTTTCAGTTGATTTTCTCTATTTTTTTTTCTTTGTTACAAGAAAAAACTCACTGGTAGGAATTATGTTGTGAAATTAATGTGATATAAAATTAAAATTTTTAATGTACTCAACAAACAATAAGCAGAGTGACATTTTGTATTATATATACCTTTTGATCAATTGTATGATTATGAAGATATGGTCCACCATAGAGAATATTGTTTGTGAAAGCCTACCCATTCCCTTCCCATATTTTTTTTTAATCAGAATATCCTTCAACTCTGTGGAAATCATTTTTTAAGAAAGATTTTAGAGAGATGACAAAGCAGGCATATGGTCTTGTAACTATTGGTGGCCTGTCATTCACCATTTTGCAGTTAATACCATTTGTGACTTTTTGCAGTAATTTGATATCTTCCCCCTCTTTGAGATGTTTTAAAGATTCACTCCTCAATGATTACAAATGTGTGCTGCTCCTGGCAAAGATTTCTTCTTTGTGTATTTAGTTTGGTCCAACTGCTTTTATCTTCTTCATGGCTGTTTCCTCTTCCTCATACAATACATTAGGACCAAAGTGTTGAGTTCAGCTATGATAATAATTTGTCACTGAAATGCTAACAAATTTGTTCCTTTTTTTTTTTACTGCTGTCCCTCCATTTTCATTGAGAAACATTCTTGGAATAATCTGCCTCTTTGCTATATTTGAGAGACTATTCTGCTTACATAATAACCTCCATGACATTTGCAGTTGCCTTTTTATTCTAGACCAGTGTTGCTCTTGGCTGCCACATCACTCCACTTGGCAAGGAGATCAGTTGTTTTTTTGGCTGAGGCAACTTCTGGCCTGTTTTAGCCTCCTTATTGAAGTGATTTATTTACATCACTTAAACTTCTTCAGGAAATAATCTTAGTCGATGTCAATGTCCTTTCCTTTACCGGTTTTCCATTTTCCAGACAGCAATCTGTTTGAAGACGTTGGTTTGGAGCTATTGTGATTGCACAAATTATCTTCTTCTTAGAGGATTGAACTAAATGACCCTCAGCTCCAGAATCTTAACAGGCAGCACTATGTACTTAGTGAAAAGTAGTCGGAGAGAGTTTTGAAACTTAGGTATGAATTTTAGGTTTGAAATTTAGTTTTGTTACTTCATGCTACGTGGCCAACTCACTTTACATTCTGTGCCTATATTTTCTCATCCAAGAAATGAGGGTTTGGACTAAATCATTTCTAAAATCCCTTCCTGTTCTATATCCTACAATTCTAGTCAATAGAGAGCTACATTTAAAAAAATCAAACATATCCAAGTTCCTGAATAAATTAATATAAATGAGCAAATAAATAGTTGCTTCATTATTTATTCCACAAACATATTCATAGAAATGTGCCTCAGGTAGTAATGGGCTGTATTAAAAAAAAATTGCCTTCCAGAACATCTAGAATGTCTCATTTTTTTCATTTGAAGGGATGTAATTGTCACTTCCTATTTAACGCAAAAAGGGGTGGCTGAGTAGTAAGGTAGACAGGGTGGAGGGCCTTCCATCAAGAAGTCCCAAGTTCAAATCCAGCCTTAGACAATTACCAGCTGTGTGACTGAGCAAATCATTTAACTCTTTTGCCCCAGTATCCTCATCTATAAAATGAGCTTGAGGGTCAGGTAGGTGGCGTAGTGGATAGAACACAGGCCCTGGATTCAGGAGGACCTGAGTTCAAATCCAGCCTCAGACACATAACACTTAATAGCTGTGTGACCCTGGGCAAGTCACTTAACCCCATTGCCTAGCCCAAAAAAAAAAAAAAGTAAAATGATCTTGAGAAAGAAATGGCAAACCACTCCAGTCTGTTTGCCAAGAAAACTCCAAAAGGGCTCATGAAGAGTTGAACACAACTGAAATGACTGAACAACAACTAAACACAAATATGATGTTATGATCAAATTTAATTTTTAAATTTAGCTGATGAAATTAACAATTTTAAGAACTGAAATGACATAATAATTGGACCAAAGTAGCAAAACTCCAAAGAAAGAGGGGAAAATTGATATTCATTTTACTAGGCTTTCTTTTTTAAAATCAGACCTATGATTTGTTCCCATCCAATTTTTTTCCCCACAGAGGTCAGAGCATCTGGCTGCAACTAGATCACCGAGTTCTTGACCATGACTTGCCCAAGAAACCAGGTCCAGCCACTTTGTACTTCGCCGTGAGGTGAGTAGCTGCAACCTTACCCTTTATGGCTTGTCTCTAATGTAAAGGATTCTTATCATAGGTCATTACAGGCAGAATAAACAGCAGTATTGTTTCAAGAAATTATGACAGAGAGAATGATGCTTCATAATATCTTGGCTTGGGGGGCAAAGTTAAACCAAACATCACATAGAATTGTTTTTGTTCATCTTTTGATGATGGTTCAAGTCCGTCTGACTCGGCAAGCCCGGCCTTTCCACTAGGTCCCATCTTCTTATGGCGCTAAGCTTTCACCACTCTGATGACCCTTCTGGTGATCAGTCAAACTTAGATAGCTAGGCTGGCCCTCAGACAAAACAGTTACTTAGGCCTATATCCAAAGCCTTGGAAACATGGTAGGCTCTGCCCCATTAGCATGATCTTCAAGACCAGGGATGCCTTTGTTTCATGAACAGCATCAGAGCAGAAACCTAGTGAAGATAATACATCAGCAGGTCAGGGCCCTGTGATCTTGTTAGCACAGGAACTTCTACCAACCTTCTAAGTAACCTTTCTGCACCTTATAGTCTTAGAGTGGTTAGGGAATATAGGAATAAGCATTTACTTAGGAACCACTTTCTTATACTATTTTTTTTTACATTTGTCTTTCAGTTCCTAAAATCATAGTTTCTTGTCCATGCAGATTGATGCTATCCTAAATATAGGCCTGGAGTGAGCTGTATGCTTTACAACATTCATCCACTGTTAGCATCTCTCTAATATGACACTGATGCTTGCTATTGTTTTCTCTTGGCTCTTCATGCATTCAGAGCTCTTATCAAGTAATTATTCACTTACTCTTCAAAACAGTCTAGTATTGCTATTACCCCAAATTGCATAAAAGGGATGATGAAACAGACACTAAAGAGTTAAATGAGATGACCTAGGTCATAGAACATGAAAGAAGAAATGGCACTTTAGCAATTAAATATACAGGATGCTTTTTCTTTTTTTTAAAACTTTCAAGGGTATTACCCTTTCCAGTTGATTGTTGCCTTTCAAATGGCAGGCAGTCATGCTGGATTGAGAAAACAGAGTTGTCAATGATACTTCTCCCTCAACAAAAAATCTCAAAGCTGGCAGGAACCACAACAGCCATATCCTAAAAACTAAATTAACCAACTGCTTAAAATAAATCCCCTCTAGATGGCTCAGTGGGTAGATTATGGGACCTAGAATCAAGAAGATAAGAGTTCAAATCTGGCCTCAGGTACTTACTCTTGTTGTGAACCTGGGCAAGTCATTTATTAAACTTTGCTTTGCCTCAGTTTTCTCATCTGTAAAATGGAGATAATAGTAGCACTTAGCTCCCAGGGTTGTTAGGAGGATAAAAAAAAATAATATTGTAAAGCTTGTGCAAACCTTAAAGGGCTATGTAAATGTTGTTGTTGTTGTTACACCTAACGCATGGTCTTCCAGCCTGGCCTTAAAAACCTCCAATGGGCAATCTATTCATAACCTCTTAAAGCAGCCCATTCCACTTTTGGATAGCTTTTATGGACAGGAAATTTTGCCTTTACTCTGTCTCTCAGAGGTAGTAGACAAGAGTTGATTTGATTACTTTGTACCCTAAAGAAAAAGAATATTTTTATCCACCTACTTGGTTATTTGTAGGGCAGCTAGATGGCTCAGTGTATAGAGTGCTGGGCCTAGAGTAAGGAAGACTCATCTTCCCCAGTTCAAATCTGACTTCAGGCACTTATTTAGCTGTGTGACCCTGGACAAGTGACTTAACCCTGTTTGCCTCAGTTTCCTCATCTGTAAAAGGAGCTGGAGGAGGAAATAGCAATCCAAATTCAGTATCTTTGCCAAGAAAACTCCAAATGGGGTCAGGAAGAGTCATACAGGACTGAACAACAACAATGCCTTTATTCATGTTGATTAAGCACCTAAATAGAATAGTTAAAGACCCAAATGGTGACTGCTGGCCTGGTTTAAGCTCAGCAACTGTTCAAGCTCCTGTGGTTATAGGGTGCAGCTGTTCATAGCAGCTTTCACTGCCTTTCGAGGTCAAAGCCTCAGAGCTAGAAGGGATGTTAAAGAGCATCTAGGCAGGCTTACTTAGCAGGGCTTCTTAGCCTGGAATCTTGAACTTGGTTTAGTTTGGGGGGGGGGAGTAAGTATTAGATCATTCTATTTCATTTCCTTTGTAATTCTATGTGTTCTATTTTATGCATTTAAAAACCTGATTCTGAGAAGGGGTCCCTAGACTCCACCAGGCTGCCAAAGCATCCTCAGATCAAAAAAAAAAAAAATACAAATACAGATGGAAAGTGCTTTATAAATTGTAAAGGGCTCTTGTACCCTAGTCTTTGTAAAATGCACAAAACTGACAAGAGAATCTGGTCATTAGATATGGGAAAGTAAGCCTTTCTCCCTAGAAGCCACCTCAAGGATGCCAAATCTGAATGCCAGTGATAGATTTTATAGAAGGAGTGCTCTCACTCTGGCGCTGGCAGAGAGTAGAAAGAAAACTAACCAAGAGTTAGAGGCATATAGCTTTCCTTTTACATCTAGCTTTTCCTTTCTAGCAAACTTTTCATCTGTTCTTCTATGTAGGAATCTCAAAGATGTCTAATAAATGAAGATAGATAGGTAGATAGGTAGATAGATAGATAGATAGATAGATAGATAGATAGATAGATAGATAGATAGATAGATAGATGTGCACACAACCATGACACATCTATCTTCTCTGTGTTAGAGAAGGATTAGCAGAATCCAGACTCCTCCAGGTTTCTGTGGGATGTTCTTGCTCGTGGCTTGTTATCTCACTCTGAATTATCTCCCACAAACATGTGAGCCTAGTCAGAGCCCTGCCTCTAATGCAGCCCAGATGCAGGCTTCTGAACAGCCTGATGGGACACAAGGGTATTGAAGCAGAAGAGTGAGGCTGTGAGCAGTGACCTCATTGGGGAAGTTCCTTCCCTTGGATGCTTCAGGGAGTGCCCCACAAGGGGGTGCCCTGGAGGTGCACGGGATGCCATTGCTGGGGATTTCACCCCACCCAGAGCGGTTCTGTTGTTCCTCTCACTTCCTCCCTTCTCTCCTCCTTTTGGCATCTTCTATGATGTGTTTTCCCTTCTCTTTTTCAATTCCCTGCTTAAGCCTTTGGGCTGTGAGCGCCACCTGCTGGCAGTCCTAGGCTGTGTTGGTAGCTCTCCATGAAGGGGGTTTCCTGGTGCCTTGGAGATAGAAGACTTTGGGGCCCTATTAATTGCAAAGGTCAAAGATGATCGTGAAAGGCGTCTCGAACTCTTGTCTGTGTATCTCCAATGCCTAGCACAGTATCTAATGTAGAGTGAGCACTTGTAGATTGACTGATTAAGGAAACTGAAGACTACTGATAATTTTAAAGTTAGACCTTATTTGCCATTTGCCTCAACCTCCTTGTTTTCCAGATGAGCAAACTGAGACCCACAGAAGTTGTGACTTCCTAAGATCACAATAGGGAGTAAATAAATTAGTAATAGAAGCATATTAGGTACTTAAACAAGCTGATCTGATTTTTTTAAAATAATTTTTGACTTTCACAAACAGATTCCTGAAGAGACAGCTCCTGAATCACAATCGTACCTATGTACAATAGCAATGGCAAACTCAATATAGCACTTTAAAGTTTGGGTCCTAAATCATAGACCCGGAGCTAGAAGGATTTCAGAAACTCTGTGGTCCAAGTCCTTCATTTTACAGATGAGGAAACTGAGACCCAAAGAAATTCCATGACTTGTCACACAGCTAGAAAGTGTGTGATAGCAACAGCTGGTATCCATGTGCTAATTTAAGCTCGGGAAGCCCTGAACATACTTTTGATTTTAAAGACCAGACTACGTGACAAAGAGGATTCTTTGGGTTGGTGTTGATCTCATCTTCAGTGCAAGATTCAGCTTATTGGAAACAGGAGAACTCCCAGAGCTTGTTGTCTGTGCTGAGGAATGTGATTGAAAACCCCAGAGGAATAACAGTTTACATCTCCTTTAAGCTAAAGGCCCTAGGAAGATGTATGAGTTGGGAAAAGTTCTTGGCTGCTTTTGCTTGCATGAATGGGCTCCCTGCCCAGCCTCTACCTCCCACCTGACTAGGTTTTGTAGTGGAAATTAAGGGAGTGGACTGATGTCATCTTGACTAAGTTTGTGCTATATGTGTGCCAGGCACCAGTCTTAACCAAAAGAGAATGGCCCTCACCCCTGAAGATTATGGGATCACAGATTTGAACTAGAAGGAGATCTCAGAGGTTGGTTCATTCAGCTCACTCATTTTATGCATAAAGAAACTGAAACTTGCCTCAGGCATTTACTAGCTGAGTGTGACCCACTTAACCTGTCTGTGCCTCAGTTTCCTAAATAAGGGAGTTGAGCTTGGCCTCTAAGATGTCTTCTAGTTCTCAAATAGTGATCTCTTAAAGCAACCTACCCAAGGTTACGCAGGTACCAGGTAGCAGAGCTGGGATTTCAACCAAGGTTCCTGCTCTGAATCCAGCATTCTTTTCACCCTGCCATACTGTCGTTTGCTGACTCTTGTGATTTCTAGAAGAACAGAGAGCCTACACACATATTCATGCTTGACTCGGTTCTCTGAATAGTCCTGCTCTTTTTTCTTGTCCTTGTGTCAGGAGTATATACAGTAGGGTTTTTTTTTCATTTTATTTTATTTTTCAATTAACAAACATTTATTTTCTCTCCCTCCCACTGATCCCCAAGTTAGATGAAAAAGAAGAAAAGCAAAACCCTTATCACCAATGTGTATACTCAAGCAAAATAAATCCCCACAGTGCCCATGTGCAGAACTTCTTTTCTCATTCTGCCCTCTCTGTCAGGTGATAAACTTAACTTCATAAATGGTTTTCTAGAATCATGGCCATCATGGTCCTCTGGACCAAGCTTCATCTTCCTTCATTATTGATACTATGGAAGCAGAGTTGGGCATTGCATTGATCAGCATTCTTTAATCTTTCCAAGTTGTTTGTCTTTATAATGTTGTTA